CCCCTAGTTTAACAGGAGAGAAGGTCAGAGGTCAGTTAAGTTTATTTCTTTCTGAAATGATCAAACCCATTTAATGCAGCATTCAACTGGAGAGACGCTCATTAGATGAAAGGATGAATAGCAGCATTAACATCCCATAATAATCTGCCAACGTCACTGGCGGTTTAAACTCAACTTGTCTCAGTTTATTTATTTTTATGACTCAAATCTCCATCAGTAATAATGGCTGATAGTTACTGAAGCTTTGGTTCTAAATGTTCGTTTCGATGTTCTGCGAATCTGAGCAGCCAGTAAAACCAAACGGCGTTGGAACCCAAAGATCCGCTGATATAAAGCTGGTTCTGTCAGTAGGAGCCCGACCGTCCAGACAGGCTGGTCCCAGTCAAACCAGCAGCTGCCACACATGCTGGTCAGACACTCCAACTGCCAGACACTTCCACAGAAAACCTGGAGAAAAGCATGAAGAGTGTTAATCAGCTGAAGGATTATTAGAAAGGCCGTTTACTTGGAACGAAAATAAAAAGCAATGAAGTCAGGAAGTAAAAGTTCCTCACTTCCAACTTCATTTCGATATTAAGAGCTAAATAATGAAAGTCAGTCATCTCCGACCGCCGGACGTCAGCGGATGCATCCTGACCTGCTGTGACTGTAAACAGGCTTTGTTTACTGGAAGGAGAAAATCCGCGAGTCACCGCATCGTGACGGTGATGATTACAGTCGACCCTGAGCAGCTGAGGGTTGACTCAGGCCTGAAAACCACCGATGCCAGTGTGGTGAATGAGGCGGCGATCACATGAAGCCTGGAATACTGAGGCCTTCATCACGGGAACGGCCTGGAGGGGAACTCAGGCCGGCGGATCTCACTGCGTCTGGTTCACCTCAACTCGTAGATCGGACCCGATAGAGACAAGATGGAGTCCGACCAGGAAAAGAAAACACCATAAAAATAACCTCATGCCCCCAAAACATCAGTTTATTCACAATATGTTGCTGCAGATCCGTTGCTCAATGTCTGGGTTGCCTTTAAAACGGCTCAACCTGGTTCAACTGAAACGGCAGGAAACAAGACCACTTTTATTTTCATACTTCACTTCCGGTTATTAGCAAGTACATTAGCATTTTAGCAAAATATTTAGCTGAGTTGACATTTGCTTTCAAATTATATTTAGCTAGCTATCAAGATATTTAGTTAGCAAGGTCAATATATAGCTTTAAACTAAAAATTAAACTTGCTAACTTTATAGTTTGAAACAAAATATTTTGTTACCATGCTAAATATTTAATTTGCTGACTACATATTTAGTTTGAAATGAAATATTTAGCTATCAAGCTAAACTAAATATTTATTTAAACAAATATTTGTTACTTTTACACATCAGATCATCAGCCAGTGAATTTGTATATTAGCCCAATATTATCAGAAATGTGCTCAGGTTAAATATTTAGTTTGAAGCTAAACATTTAGCTTGTTGATATTTATAATGGAGCAATATAATTAGCATGCTAACTAAACATTTAGTTAGCAGGTTAAATAGCTCCAGTCTGGGGATTGAATGAGGCCTCTGACCCTGCAGGACTGGGTCAGAGGGTCGCCCAGAGCGACCTGTCATCGACCCTGACCTTTGGCTGCTTGGTTAGTTTTTAGAAACGGACCAAACCGAGCGTTACGACCTGAGAGCTGTCGTAACGCCCAGGAGCCTCAGAATCTGGTTGCTGGAGTTTCTGTGGGCCGTTCTGGAGGAACTAAGTGTTTTTTCTCCCGTCAGTGAAACGTTGAACCAGCGTTTCACCCGTAGGAGGACATCTGAGGGTACATGAGACTTCAGCCGACCCGTCTTCATCTGTTTGCTACCTTCAGGGAAGCGAACAATCCCCTGGTATGTTGGGGAACTTGGCATTTCAAGCTCGTTACCGAAGGTCATTTCTTCCCAAAGAAGCGTCACGTTTTGGAGAACTCCTCAACCTTGTGATTAAAGTCATAAACTTGATTCCTCATCGCTCCTCTCAGCCTGATTAAGACAAGAGGATCTGCAGAATCTCAACGGATGTTTGTTAAGAACCATCAATGAAATCCTGAAACACTGAGGAGAAACAGGGTTTCATACAGATCAACTCTAACTATTCTGTCAACATCTCTTAAATATTTACAGTGAACTTTATGAAACATAAGTCATTTACTGTAGCCTGTAAGTTTTGAAGCTGAAGTCCTGAAACCTGCAGCAAGTTGGGAAACGTCTCCGTTAAAAGGAACAGGAAGGCAGTAAAACCTTCCTGTTCCACTTTAATGGTTTTCTGAAAAAGTTCTTCCAAGTTCTTGGGTGTCAGAACCAGATCATCGTCATTATGAATCATCAAAATACAGGAAGGTACAAAACTATTCGCAGCTTTGTTGTTCTACCCAAAGACTTCAACGAGTCAAACATGGCGCCATGCTTTAGTTTTTACTGGGTCGAGTCAAACCTGACAGTTTATGTTCTGTTGGAAACAAAAAGCCTAATTTTGACCCCGGTGTCAATAATTGACCAAAATCAAAACTTACTCTTCCTGCTCAGATTGTGGAGAAGTTGGTGGCCAGCAGCTCATGATCTCCTGGTTCGGTTTCAGAGAACGACTTGTTAACGGTCAGGACTGAACCGCAGACCGTCGGGACTGAACCGCAGACCGACGGGACTGAACCGCAGACCGTCGGGACTGAACCGCAGACCGTCGGGACTGAACCGCAGACCGACAGGACTGAACCGCAGACCGTCGGGACTGAACCGCAGACCGACAGGACTGAACCGCAGACCGTCGGGACTGAACCGCAGACCGACAGGACTGAACCGCAGACCGTCGGGACTGAACCGCAGACCGACGGGACTGAACCGCAGACCGTCGGGACTGAACCGCAGACCGACAGGACTGAACCGCAGACCGACAGGACTGAACCGCAGACCGACGGGACTGAACCGCAGACCGTCGGGACTGAACCGCAGACCGACAGGACTGAACCGCAGACTGTCGGGACTGAACCGCAGACCGACAGGACTGAACCGCAGACCGTCGGGACTGAACCGCAGACCGACAGGACTGAATCGCAGATTGTCGGGATTGAACCGCAGACCGACAGGACTGAACCGCAGACCGTCGGGACTGAACCGCAGACCGACAGGACTGAATCGCAGATTGTCGGGATTGAACCGCAGACCGACAGGACTGAACCGCAGACCGTCGGGACTGAACCGCAGACCGTCGGGACTGAACCGCAGACCGACAGGACTGAACCGCAGACCGTCGGGACTGAACCGCAGAACGTCGGGACTGAACCGCAGACCGACAGGACTGAACCGCAGACCGACAGGACTGAACCGCAGACCGACTGGACTGAACCGCAGACCGACGGGACTGAACCGCAGAACGTCGGGACTGAACCGCAGACCGACAGGACTGAACCGCAGACCGACAGGACTGAACCGCAGACCGTCGGGACTGAACCGCAGATTGTCGGGATTGAACCTCAGACCGACAGGACTGAACCGCAGACCGACAGGACTGAACCGCAGACCGTCGGGACTGAACCGCAGATTGTCGGGATTGAACCTCAGACCGACAGGACTGAACCGCAGACCGACAGGACTGAACCGCAGACCGTCGGGACTGAACCGCAGATTGTCGGGATTGAACCTCAGACCGACAGGACTGAACCGCAGACCGACAGGACTGAACCGCAGACCGTCGGGACTGAACCGCAGACCGTCGGGACTGAACCGCAGACCGACAGGACTGAACCGCAGACCGTCGGGACTGAACCGCAGACCGACAGGACTGAACCGCAGACCGACAGGACTGAACCGCAGACCGACAGGACTGAACCGCAGACCGTCGGGACTGAACCGCAGACCGACAGGACTGAACCGCAGACCGTCGGGACTGAACCGCAGACCGTCGGGACTGAACCGCAGACCGAGGACTGAACCGCAGACCGTCGGGACTGAACCGCAGACCGTCGGGACTGAACCGCAGACCGTCGGGACTGAACCGCAGACCGTCGGGACTGAACCGCAGACTTCGGGACTGAACCGCAGACCGACAGGACTGAACCGCAGACCGACAGGACTGAACCGCAGACCGTCGGGACTGAACCGCAGACCGTCAGGACTGAACCGCAGACCGTCGGGACTGAACCGCAGACCGACAGGACTGAACCGCAGACCGACAGGACGGCGCGTTTGGTTCACTGGTTCTGGTTCGGATGAACGGCAGGGTGGGAGGAGAGACGTTTCGGTTCCATGTTTATTTATAAAATCTGTCTCTTGTTCCATGGAGTCCCTCAGGGTTCAGTACTGAGTCCCTTCACACCTTCAGAGCTAAATAATTAGTTGGCAAACAAAATGTTTAGTTAGTTTTCAGCTAAATATTTAGTTCTAAGACAGTTATTTAGTTAAATATTTAACGTTAGCTAAATATTTAGTTTGGAGATTAGCATTTTGTCAATATTGAGTTCTAAGGTAAATATTTTTGCTTTAATCTAAACATTTACATTTTTAGTTTGTAACTAAAGATTTGCTTTAAAAAAACATTTACTTTACTGACTGAATACTTAACATTAAATTAAGAATTAAATATTTCGATAAAACTAAATATTTAGCTTGCTTACAAAATATTTATTTTAAAACTATTATTTTACATACTTTTATAAATGAATGAAGAAAATGTTGAAAACATGAGTGAAAAATGAAGCTCAGTTTTTTCTAAATAATCCAACTTGTTGCTAATATTGTGGAAGTTAACGAACGGCTCCTGGAGTTTCCAGCTCTTTCCTCCTAAATGTTTCCTTTCATTCAAGGTTAATTGATTTGTCAGAGAAACAGGAAGCTGACATCACACGGCGCCCCAGCCAATCAGGACGCTGATATCTTCCCCTGAACCCAGATGGATTTTCTTAATCTTCTTCCATCATCCTTGTTATTCCCACTGGACTCAGCTGGTTGAAGCAGCTTTTCTCGGCTTCTGTCCGCGATTTTTTAAACTTTCCGTCCTCGGCTGAAGCGTCGAGCGGTGCAGCTTCACCTGAAGAGCAGCGGAAGCATTTCACTTCAGAAAGGATTCGGTTTGTGCTTCTGCTTTCCTTCTCTGCTGCTACTTTATGAATTCATTTTGGAAACAGGAACCGATGATTGGCTCATGACCCAGCGACCCAAACCGGCTCAGATTCAAAGCTGAATTCTTCAGGAAGCATTTTGAAAATTCAGGGAAAGAGGAAAGTTAGTTCAAACTTGAAGAAGTTGTGTGTGAAGTTTGAAACGGCTCAGAGTGATGAAGGATCAGAGTAAAAAAACTAAAAGCTCCTCAGGTAAAGCAGACGTTTGGTTTATCAGAAATCACTGAATCCAGATTTGAACACCTGGTTCTGGTTCTGATGCGGTTGGTCTTTGGGTGTGGCCTCAGTCATTCTAACAGCAACATGGTAATAAAGTCCAGATCTGATCTGATCAACCTCCAGTTGATCAGATCAGATCTGATTTTCCATCTGATATAATTTGATCAGTTTTTCTTTTGGTCGGATGAAAAAACATAAACTTTGAAATCTGAGTGAATTTTGGACGTTTTGGTTTTTCCAGGTTCACAATAACATCGTTACAAACTTTGGTCAGAAAATGTTGATGAATCTTTCTGAGGTGATTTAATCCGGTTCTGGTTCTGGTGGTTCTGGTGGAGATCTGACGTCCATTTTGTTTCCCTTCAGAGCAGCAGACGAAGAAATGGCAGATAGTCCAGATCACAAGGTCAGTTCAGATGGATGGATGGTTCTGTTTGGTTCTGTTTCCAGTTGCGTAGGTCTGGCTCCAGTTCCGGCTCTGGTTCTGGTTCCGGTTCCAGCTCTGGTTCTGGTTCCGGTTCTGGTTCCGGTTCCGGCTCTGGTTCTGGTTCCGGTTCCGGCTCTGGTTCTGGCTCCAGTACTGGCTCCGGTTCTGGCTCTGGCTCCGGTTCCGGTACTGGCTCCGGTTCCGGTACTGGCTCCGGTTCCGGTTCTGGCTCCGGTTCTGGTTCCGGTTCTGGCTCCGGTTCTGCCTCCGGTTCTGGTTCTGGCTCCGGTTCCGGTTCCGGTTCTTGCTGTGACGGCTCTCTGACCCGTTTCAGACCAGCGCTCTGCTCAGAGCCTCCCATCTGCCTCTGGTCCGCTCCACGTTCCGGTCCGTGTCTTCGCTCGTCTCCGGGGTCAAAGAGCGCTACCCCCTGCTGGGCTTTGTGGGGGGCGTGGCAGAGGTCGGAGTTCGCGGCGTGGCTGAGGAAGTCCTGCGACGGGCCACGCCCCTCCTCCAGAGTCTGGAGCCCCAAAGTGAGCCCGGTTCTGTTGGTTCTGTTGATGAATGCATGAAGCCCATGAACCGGTTTCTCTGACTGTAATGGCGTCTTGTCCAGTTGACCTCGCCAACAGGTTGGCTCTGACTGGTCTGGACGGTCTGGAGAGGACGTTTCCCATCCTGAACCAGTCCACAGAGGAGGTGAGTTCTCCAGAACCTGCTGGAGACCCGGAACAGAACCAGCCTTTGTAAAACTCTCACTCCTCCTTTAAATTCCTCAGTTTTAACAATCTGGGATCAGGCAGTAAAAACTCTGAAACGCTGCAGAGATGCTACTGAGATCAGGTAGCAGGCTAAAGGTTAGCGGTGCTAAACCTAAAGGGCTAACAACAAGCATAGCTCCGCTAATGCTGTAGCTAGTGTGATGGACAAAGGCATATACAAATAACTATTTAATTTTTCAAAAGAGTTTAAAGATGTTTTTACAACAAATTTCAAAAAGAAATATAAGAAAAATGGGCCCAAAAAATAATCAACTAAAGCAATCAACTCAACAAATAAAACTAACTGACTCTCCTCAATGAACACAATTTATATAGAAACGCTAGCCTACACACACACACACACCTACACACACCTACACACACACACACACACACACACACACACACACCACACACACACTACACACACACACACACACACACACACCACACACACACCTACACACACACACACCTACACACACACACTACACCCACCCACACACACACACACACACACACACCTACACACACACACACCTACACACACACACACACCTACACACACACACACACACACACACACACACACACACACACACACACACACACACCTACACACACACACACACACCTACACACACACACCTACACACACACACACACACACCACACACACACACACACACCTACACACACACACACACACAAACACACACCTACACACACATACACACACACACACCTACACACACACACACCACACACACACACACCTACACACACACACTACACACACACACACACACACCTACACACACACACCTACACACACACACACACACACACACACACACACACACACACACACAAGGAGGGGGGGGAGAAAACAAAAACAACCAATACATAAACATAAATAAATTCAAATCACAACATTTTACTTTAACACAACTATAAAACAGAACAACCTAACACCATAAATATTATAACAATAGAGCGAGAGGAGGAATCTTCCACATCAAATTCCCTGCTTCCTGCAGCCTGATGGTTCGTTCCAGTTACTGGTTTGAGACGATCGACTCCTCCCAGCCAGTCCTTCAACTCAACCAAGAACAAAATATTAATATTCTAAATAACCAAGCGTTTACTAAAATGTGTGCACCCAATCTAGTAAAACAACTTAATACCAAAAACCCACCAAAGAAAAAGTGATATTACCAATATAAATATTACCAATATAAATATTACCAATATAAAACATTAGCTAAATACTAACACTGAGAAGATGGAGGAACCTCCACACCAGGCACCAACATAGTAGGTAGCAGAAGCTAATGCTAACGTGATGCATTAAGACAGTGATATGTGGGAGCTAACTAGATTAACACTGAAGTGCTGTCAATGATACAACATGCTCCATGTCGCCTCCACATGGCCAGGTGTGTTATTACACGTCTTGCTGTGCGGTTTGGTTTTCAGGAAGTGATTCTTTGGGATGACTTTTGATAACTAAATGTTTTCAAAGTTCAAAAAGTCTTAAAGCTCAAACCAAAGAAGTAGCTCCCCTAGCAGTGGACCAGCAGCGTCCTGGACTTAAACTGCTGTCTCCATCCTCAGGTGATGACTCACTTGAAGGACGCCTTCTTTGTGACTCTGGATGATGTCCAGGTGTGGGCGGTGGACAGCCTGGACGGAGCTCTGGACCAGCTGGAGCGAGCCGCTGAGTCGGTCCGGACGGCCGGGCGGCGGCTGCAGGAAACGCAGGCGGGCCGGGCGGCGGCGGCGGGACTGGACAACGTCCTGAGTCTCCTGGAGGACTCCGCCGCCTACTACTTACCCCTCCCTCCTACACTGCGTGAGTTCAGCCAAATCCTCCCGTTCCTGCTTCATAAAACCAGTTTAAACATCTGATTTATTAACTGTGCAGCTCAGAAACCATCAAATAGCAACAACTGAAACCACTTCTGGTTTTATTGACTCCTTATTCTGCTCTGTGAGAAGCAGCTTCTATCGCCCCCTGTTGATTGAACAAATTGGGCCTCCGTCTCTTTAAAAACTCCTGCTGCTTCTGAGGCTCCGCCTGCAGGACCTCGTCCCAACATGGCTCCTCTATTAACCCTTTAACACTTTTTCGCTCTGACCAGCAGCTCCTTTCATGAGCTCAGCAGGTGTTTGCTAATTGCTACTGGTTAGTCTGAAGGAGCAAAGTGGGGGAGGAGCTACACCTTGGAGGCGGTGCTAGGTCCATGGCAACCATTTTAACAGCTGAATGGTTGCCATGGAGATTAAATAATTCTGCTTTAGGTGTTTTTTTTCCTTGAGGTTAAAGGTTATATTAGATGGAAAAGCAGAAATATGATCTGTTCACAGCAGTAAAGATGGCCGCCACCGTGCTCTGACTATGGCAACAAAGATGGCCGCCGTGTTTTCTGGACAGAATTTAAAGCTGAACAAACGAAGGAAGCTGGTAAACATAAAGATCAGCTACAAAGAAGAAGAGTGTGTTTGTGTGTGGTGCTGCTCTGGTTCCGGTTGGATCCGGTTGGATCCGGTTGGATCCGGTTGGATCCGGTTGGGTCCGGTTGGACCCGTAGAGAGATTCTGGCGTTCTGGTCGTCCTCCAGGCCGGGAGTGGGAGATGAAGGTCCAGCAGTACGAGGATGAGGATGACGGAGACGAGCCCGGCCTCTGGACCAGAGTCCGCAGCCTGTTGCTGACCCTCAGCCTGCAGCTCTATCACCGCATGCTGAAGGCCAGGGAGCAGCTGCAGGGAGCCGCCCGGACACTGGGGGGCGCCGCTGAGCAGGTGAGGCAGGACTTCCACAGGAATCATCATTTAAAACTGAAACATTCATTTCAGAACAAAAAAACCTGAATATTTACTTCAAGTGAATTCAAACTTTTCTTGCCACTAGATGGCGCTGCTGCTTCATTCCTGGTCCAGTCCAGTGGTTCTGGTTCTGGTCGGTTTCAGTTAAAACTCATCTGTGGTGATGCGTTCAATCCCAGTCGTAAACTTCAGCTGCTCCAGTTCAGAAAGAAGAAAAAAGCTGGAAAATCATTTGATTAAAACTGATAATTATTATTGTAAGAAAACTGTTTTCTAACAATAACTAAACTCAACATATTTACAGTTATATTGATGTAATAATGTTCTTTTTATTATTGTTATCAACCTTATTAGTAATATTTAATTTTTGATCATTTTATTGTAAAATTAATAAAATATTAATAGTGATTATAGTTTTACTATGGCTATGATATTTATAATAAAATTATAATTATAATAGCTACAATATTTACAGTCATTGCTTACTGTATTGTTATGTAGTAAGAAATTATTATTACATAATAATATTGTAATATAAAAATAATGTTACATTTTTACACATTCTTTAGCCTTTTTCCTGTTCTCACTAGAACCAGGAAGATAGAGACATAACAGCAGTTTTAAAGTCGCTCCACTGGCTTCTTGTAGCTCAAAGAATAGATTTTAAAATCCTGTTGTTAGTTTATAAATCACTGAACGGTTTAGCACCACAATACATCAAAGATCTGCTGTTGTTGTATCAACCTTCCAGACTCTCAGGTGGTTCTGGTTCTGCTCTGCATCCCCAGAACCAGAACCAAGAGAGGAGAAGCAGCTTTCAGCATCTATGCACCAAAACTTTGGAACAAACTTCCAGAAAACTGTAAAACAGCAGAAACCCTGACTTCCTTTAAATCTTGACTAAAAACCAGCTGGTTAGAGTTTGATTTGAAATGTAATATGAACAATGTATTGTTTATTCTATGACTTTGTGTTTATGATGTAAAGCCCTTTGAAATGTGCTATACAAATAAAATTTAATTTAATTAGCATTAAATATAGCAGAAAGTGAGTGAAAATGTTACAACTGTGGAAATATTTCATCCTGAGTTTATCGTCTCAGAGGAATCTGGTTTATGATCCCAGATGATATAAAATACATTTCTATATTTAGGACAGACAGAAGACGAGCTTCACTGCAGCCTTTCTGTCCACACACACACACACACACCCACACACACACACACACAACACACACCCACCCACACACACACACACACACACACACACACACACACATCATCCTGCAGCAACAAACAGACGGGTCGACGTGACCCGGCCGCTCCCTGAGGACCGGTGGGCTGAGAGGCAGAACAAACACATCTAAACAGTCAGTAGCAGAACCAGAACCAGAACTTTTCTGAAGGAAAATACATTCTGGGTTTTAATGCTTCACATGTTGGAGGCCAGAAAATAATGAAAAACATCCAGAACCAAACCCAGAACTGTCTGCAGTGGAGCTGAAGTCCAGAGAGGATCCAGGAGAGAAACCAGAACTGATCAGAACCAGTCAGAGTCCTTTCATCAGAAACGGCTTAATCAAATCCTGGGGCTGTCATTTCCACATTAAACTGATTTTAATTTGGTGTCACAGAGATATTTGATGTTTCGTCTCATTAAAAGCTCAGAAACCTGAAATAAAGCAGATGAGATCGAAGTTGGGATTGGAACCATCAACCTGACGTAAAACAAAGTTTGTCCCTGGGATTTCAGGGTTTGGCTCCGTTCTGGACGGGTCGTTCTGATCGGTCCAACCTGACCAGCAGGAAACGCTGGTGGGAAAAATAAGATACTTTGGTCTTTTTCAGTCAAAACCTTTCAAATAATTAAGCTGAGAAGGAAATGAAAACCTAAAAACCTAAAAAACTAAAACCCCCAAAACCTAAAAAACAAAATCCCTAAAAAACTAAAACCCCCAAAACCTAAAAAACTAAAACCCTAAAAACCTAAAAAACTAAATCCCTAAAAACCTAAAAAACTAAAAACCCCAAAACCTAAAAAACTAAATCCCTAAAAACCTAAAAAACTAAAAACCCCAAAACCTAAAAAACTAAAACCCTAAAAACCTAAAAAAAACTAAAAACCTAAAAAACTAAAACCCTAAAAACCTAAAAAACTAAAAACCCCAAAACCTAAAAAACTAAAACCCTAAAAACCTAAAAAAAACTAAAAACCTAAAAAAACTAAAAACCTAAAAAACTAAAACCCTAAAAACCTAAAAAAAACTAAAAACCTAAAAAAACTAAAAACCTAAAAAACTAAAACCCTAAAAACCTAACAAACTAAAAACCTAAAAAGCATTTCAAGATAAAAACAAACAGAAACGTAACAAACTGCAGCAGATGAGACAAAATTATCTGAATAAATCCAGTTTTCCATCCGAAGCTTCTTTGATACATGAATGTGTTTTGCATTGTTTTATCAACTGAATATTGTGGGATTTTTATGAATATAAATTATTTTAAAATTATGAAGTTATAGCACATTGTTTGGGAATAAATATGGATTACTGTAATTTGCATTAGTAGAATAACTCCAATTGTCCAAATAGAAACATGAAGACAATATACGTTTACAAACATTTTAGTTGTTTTCTCTCAAAAATTTTTGGAATTTTTTTATTTAAAGAAAAAAAACTACAAATATTGCATCATTCCCCTAAACGTTCTGCAGAAATGTTGAAAGTCCTGGATTGAAAGTGATAAAAGGTTTTATTGTGATTACCGGCCGGAGGATCCGGATGGGTTTTGTTTCTGAGCTCAGATCACTATCAGCTGGTTCTGCTCATTTTCCACGTAGCGCCGCCTTCAGACGGCGCCTGCAGGAAGAGCGTCTGGGTCAGATAACGGGCCTGGCGGTGCCCAGCTCTGCCTACGTGCCGCTCGCAGCATCCGTAATGATCTCTGCGATAACGGGAAGCTGGCAGCGCGGCCCGCTGGGTCGGCCCGCTGGGTCGGCCCGCTGGGTCGGCCCGCTGGGTCGGCCCGCTGGGTCGGCCCGCTGGCGGGACCCAGGGTCAGCAGTCTGGATCTGTTCCCTTGCTGTAGTTGAAACCCAACATGTTCTGGTTCTGTCCCAGAAAAATTCTCAATGAGGTCCAAATCGGCCAGAACTGGAAACTTCTTCTGTTGTAGATGGACTTCTAAAATGTACTGTTAGAAGTGTTTTTACTACATCATAATTTGGGTCGCCTTGGGTCCAGGGAGCATTTTGGATGGATGGATGGATGATGGATGGATGATGGCTGGATGGATGGATGATGGATGATGGATGGTTGGATGATATATGATGGATGGATGGATGATGGATGGATGGATGGATGATGGATGATGGATGGATGATGGATGGATGATGGATGGATGATGGATGGATGATGGATGGATGATGGATGATGGATGGATGGATGGATGATGGATGGTTGGATGGATGATGGATGGATGGATGGATGATGGATGATGGATGATGGATGGATGATGGATGGATGATGGATGGAGATGGATGGATGGATGGATGGATGATGGATGGATGGATGATGGATGATGGATGGATGGATGGATGATGGATGGATGGATGATGGATGATGAATGGATGGATGGATGGATGGATGAATGATGGATAGATGATGGATGATGGATGGATGATGGATGGATGATGGATCGATGATGGATGGATGATGGATAGATGATGGATGGATGATGGATGGATGGATGGATGGATGATGGATGGATGATGGATGGATGGATGATGGATGGATGGATGGATGGATGAATGATGGATGGATGGATGGATGGATGATGATGGATGATGGATCGATGATGGATGGATGATGGATAGATGATGGATGGATGATGGATGGATGGATGGATGGATGATGGATGGATGATGGATGGATGGATGATGGATGGATGGATGGATGGATGAATGATGGATGGATGGATGGATGATGGATGGATGGATGGATGAATGATGGATGGATGGATGATGGATGATGGATGGATGATGGATGGATGGATGATGGATGGATGGATGATGGATGATGGATGGATGATGGATGGATGGATGATATGATGATGGATGGATGATGGATGGATGATGGATGGATGATGGATGGATGATGGATGATGGATGGATGGATGGATGATGGATGGATGATGATGGATGGATGGATGGATGATGGATGATGGATGGATGATGGATGGATGGATGGATGGATGGATGGATGATGATGGATGGATGGATGGATGATGGATGGATGGATGATATATGATGGATGGATGGATGATGGATGGATGATGGATGGATGATGGATGGATGATGGATGGATGGATGGAGGATGATAGATGGATGGATGGATGATGGATGGATGGATGGATGATGGATGGATGATGGATGGATGGATGGATGATGGATGGATGGATGATGGATGATGGATGATGGATGGATGGATGATGGATGGATGGATGGATGATGGATGGATGATGGATGGATGGATGATGGATGGATGATGGATGGATGATGAGGATGGATGGATGATGGATGGATGATGGATGGATGATGGATGGATGGATGGAGGATGATGGATGGATGATGGATGGATGGATGATGGATGGATGATGGATGGATGGATGGATGATGGATGGATGGGATGGATGATGGATGGATGGATGGATGATGGATGGATGGATGATGGATGATGGATGATGGATGGATGGATGGATGGATGGATGAATGATGGATGGATGGATGATGGATGGATGATGGATGGATGATGGATGGATGATGGAGATGATGGATGGATGATGGATGGATGGATGGATGGATGATGGATGGATGATGGATGGATGGATGGATGATGGATGATGATGGATGGATGATGGATAGATGATGGATGGATGATGGATGGATGGATGATGGATGGATGGATGGATGAATGATGG